ATAAAGAATACTAATATTAATTATTATAAGATTAAGACACTATTTAACTATCGCGTCTAGTAAGTCTAAGGCAAGATTATTATTAAGTATCTAGTCCGCTAGAAGGAATACAGTGCTTATTATAATATATAGTATTATCTTAAGAACCTAGCTAATACTTAAGAATTTGTTTAAGAGTGTAATTAATATCTTAGACTATTAGCTGAACTATAGAAGCGTAGGTAATCCTGTAAATAATGCTAGTTACCGTAAATTAGGTATAAAAAGAGATAAATTATAGAAATATCTAACTATATCTTATATTATATATACACATATATTTCTATACTCTGTTATCGAGGATAATGATATTTTTCTTAAAGGGGGTATACTGATATAGATACGGGCGTATAATACTACCTTAGCGTCGCCTGCCTGCTATTTTAGTAAGGTATAAAGGTATAAACTTTATATAGAAGACTTAGGCAATAATTAGCTATATAGTTACTTCCTTACGTAGCTAATAGAAGGACAACTTCTTCATCCCCTATACCGTGTTACATAGGCTAAAACTAACTATTAACCCTTATTTTATTATATTTTCTCCTTAATAATATTAAAGGTAAAAGAATTAAGTAGAAGTATAATTATTATAGAATTCTATTTAATTATAAATCCTATTAATAGTTAGGCTATTATATTATAATACTAATACTACCCCTAAGAATCTATAGAAATTATTATAAAATACTATCTTAAGAAATATTTTAACAGAATAAATATAGGAGCTTCCTAGAACTATAGATCCTTATTTATTATTAATATTAATAAATTATTATTATTGCTCTTATTGCTCTTTAAACTTCTTATATTATAATTATTAGTATATTATAGAAATAAGCAGTTATTTATATACTATTCTTATTTTTAGTATTATCTTTTATAATAGGACTATTATTATAATAATTAATATTTTTTTCTTCTTTAATAGTTATTATTATATTATTCTTATTCTCTTTAAATACTATAATCTCCTTATTTTATTTATAAGTCTAATTTAGAGTAAATTCTATTTTATATCTATTTTTTCCTAGAAATAAAATATATATAACTTTTTTATCTATTTAGGTCTAATATATTTTATTTAGAATATAACTATTTAAGATAATATATATATACCTAGTTATTATATTACAGAGAGTAGCAATAATATTTAAAAGATTAATTATTAATAGCAATTTATTATAAGGCTTAGATACTTGCTTATAATCTAGTATAATATATAAAAAATATAGGCAATATTGTATAGGCTATAAAGAAAAAGAATAACTTAAAATAAGTTATATTTAGATAAATTGCTGTAATATTTCTATTATTAAAATAAATCTCTTAATTATATTTTTATAAATATGCTTATTTATAGGGGTTATAATATTATTATAGAAATGCTTATATTTATTACTAATAGGCTTATCTTTATTAAATTTTATCTCTAATTTTTTAGGAGAAGAATCTTAAGCAATTATATTATATATAATATTAACTATATAATTAATATAATTTAGGGAGGGGAAAGAATAATATAATAACTTACCTAAGGAATATTAGCCCTATTTTAAGAAATAAATATAATTTATATATATATTATTTATAACTTCAGGAACTAAAATATAATAATAATATAATTTAAGGGCTATTTTTAGATTATAATATTTTATTTTATTCTTGCTCTAGTATATATTAATAGCTTCTAAATTATTATATTAATTATAGGCTATAATTATTAATAATATCTGCGATATTATAATATATACTTATAAAGTTTATTAATAATACCCTTTATATATATAAAAATGCTATTTTAGTATATTTCCTAAAGAGTATTACTATACTACAGGATTATAATCTTATTATACTAATATTGCTTTAACTAATAAATATTCTATAGAGGCAATAAATTCCTCTTAATTTAAGTAAGTATAATATTAGCTGGGGGTATAAGATTTAAGTCTAAAATAATAATATCTCTATAATAAGGTATTATAAAATTATAAAACTAAAAATATGTTTATATTTAAAATTGCTTTAAAGAAATAATAGAATAATTAATTTATTACTTATAAAAAGAAGTAATAGGTATATAAAAGGAATTATATAGTGAAGTCTATAGCCTTATATAACTTTACACCTTGAGCTAGTGTGCTAGCTTAGCTATACTGAACCTGATTGGCTTATTTAGAGAGGGGAGGATATAGTCTTTTCTTATATCATCTAGCTTAGTCATTCTCTACTATATAGCCTTAGGCACAGATATCTCTTAGTAATCAACTTTCTTCTTCTGAACAACAGACCCGAACATGCCTAGTCAGCAGGAGAAGATAACCTACCTACACTGCTACGCTGGTTTATACAGTAGCAGCACCATCAACTCTTATTACTACAAAGTAGGCAGTATGCTTGGATTGCTTGGCCCTGCTGCTCATGAGAGTACAACTCGTCCTCTTGTAAAAGGCTTTCACTTAACTGTAACCGTCTATATCCGCCATGTAGGTATGTATCTGCGCTTTTGCACTATCCACAATTAACTCTCAAGCTCGTTGTGAAACGAGAATGTCCAGTGCCTTGTCCTGAAAAATGATGTCGTCTTGAATCTCATAGAGCCGCAAGAGGACTTCGGGGTCCATCCCGTCGTTAAGAGCCCTTCCCGTTTCCTTGGCGTAGTTGGGCAGGTTCATTGATTTAAACATACTGGTAGAAGAGTCGTAAAGAGCTTTAAGGGTACCTATTAAAGATGTGGGATAGATCTTATCGGGGGCACCGGCGCCCTGACGAGTAATCTTACACCACCACTATCAAAAGGGCAAGCCGTATAGATAATAATACAGTTATACCTAGGGTGACCATCAACATAATGAACCTGGGTCCAGAACCGAGGCTCGACATTATCCGTTGAACATTTAATTTGGATAAAACCAAACCTCTCCACTACGTAGACTCTGATTCAAATGAAGATCGTGGTTCAGATCAATTAGCATTTCCAACTCTGGAGTCGGTAGAGCATAAATCGAGTTTCATCCGGTTTGACCTTGATTCAGCTGGAGCCCGAGCTCGGGGACCCATACGTATGCGGGGAGGGCTGATGCTGATAATGCTGATCCCTGTTGAATATGAGGTAGCTTATTTAATCGGGAACATTCCGCGTAAAATCCGAACAAGTTAAGCAAATCAATGCAAACTGTTAATTTAGAAAACATACTTTAGACGTTTGAGTAGTATTAATGCTCTAGCGTGCTAGGGAGACCGGGAGAGGACACCTAGAATATATTATTCAAAATACTCCGTACGGAATAGAGGAACCAAGCAAGTCAAGGAAGCAGTTCATTAAGCATGAGATGAAACCTCCGGGAGAAGCAGTCTAGAGAAGATAGGTCATTTCTACAAGCAAACGTATATGAGCTAGAGATGGCATATCCTAGGTTCCAGCTCATTTTCCTGTTCCGGTACTGCGTGCTGTCCTCCTGTTCCCGGTATCCTCGAGCTCAGCGGCTCTATGCAGAGTCATTTGACGTTCCCTCAAACAATAACAGTATGGTAGTAGCATGGTTTATTCCTCATGTTTCAGCACATAGGCCGAGTGGTGGCGGGTAACGGTAATAAAGGAGAACTGTTATTAGCTCAGCCTACTCTACAGCTTCTTTTAGTGAGTATACGCCGACTAACCACTCGGTGTCCTCGTGCTTGATGATTTTATAGAGGTCTTCGGCTCTGCACTGAAGCAGTAGGTTTTTATTATTATGGTTTATCATCGTATTTGAGCTTTACATGCGTCAGATGGTGCTGATAAAAGGACAGACGTCCAAAAAGCTTGTGTAGATAGTGGCCATCCGCAACGGTTTCGGTCTGATGACGATGAAAGCTTGTGGTAGAATATATCGGCGGCTATATTTTTAGCGGTGAACCAGTGCTCGGCTATGGTGAACTGTATGGTAGATAGTCTAATAATAATGTCCAGAGTCCAGAAACTTGCGTCAGCCGCGCCCCTATCGCCACTTTGGCTAGTTTTGCCGAGAGGTTGTTCCAATCTTTGTTCATGATTATTATTATTATCCATAATTTTTCAGCCGGAGCGACCACGGGAGGGACCGAAAACTACCACGGAAAGCCATGATTAATATTGAATTGACGAAAGGGATTAGGCAAGGGTCGGCCGTGTTCCTGTTCCATAATAATCATAATCCCCGGAGTCATCTCGGTTGAATGGGCTCAGTAATAATAATAATTCGTACGGATCAACATCAACCGTGGTCTGTGATTTTCCCTGATCGCCTCGGCGTTTCCTACAGATTGCTAGAGGTCAATGTCATACGTAGATATTATTATTGACGCTGCTATGCGCAGTTTCGATATTAACGGAATTGGCATCTGTAACAGTGCAGTAGCAATTGAGACCAGTTTTTCTTCATCCCGTTTGCCCATACTCGAACCTAGATAGACCTTGCCTTCTTGGACCTCAACCCCAGAATGTCAACTGACCGTTGACGTCTTCGCACATCTCCTAAGACGTTTGCGCGAATTCTCAGACTTTTCTTGCCGGTGATCGTTGTTTTCGGGTGGGAAGCTAAAGAATTTTATTTTCAAGTTACGGCCCCACTACTTACGGCACGACGTTATACCGTTATACGTAGCCTGGAATTGGATAAGCACTAAGCTCGGCCTATGGTATACGGAGTTAGACTCTTGATCATTATTAGAGATCGTCGTTTTGCTGTCCTGACTCCAGAGTATATAACTACGGAGCAAAAAGGCCAGCAGTGATGATGTCGATGCAAGTCAAATTATCACTAGAACAAAACATTTCCCTGTTAATCGATCTTAATCGCCCAACTAGATCGAGACGCTAAATGGATGAATAATTCTCATTGGTTGTTTATTCGATACTTCAATCTCCTGCGGACAAGTCGGATGTAGATCTATTCAACTACGGCCGGATAGAATCCACTCATTACGCCATGTTCCCACAGCACGACTTCAAACAGGGCCAGGGCGAGAAATGGCGTCAAACCAAAAAGAGTCTTGCACTTTGTATTATGTATTATCATTCACTGCTCGAGGGATCGCTGAAGGCCCCTGTCATCCGATTACCCGTTATCTAACCGAGGCGCCTGTGGACGTGGATGAAGAAAGTTCAATCCGTACTCTCAGCTCAACTCCTACGTATTCTTGTTTATTATTACCCTGAAAGGGTTGCAGCACCTTTCACCAATCCATCAATCTTGCTACCTGGTGCGTTCATACTACGGTAGAAAAGAGTACAATCATGGACGAGGGATCTCCCGGATCTCCTACCCGGCCACGGGCGAGAGTAAGTATAACCAAAAGGGTTATCTACCGTAAAGATAACACAGGCCAGATACTGATAGTGTGTTGACAGTCTGAAGTGCCACGACGGCCAGATGATATGGGAGAGAGAGTTGCCTCACCTACCCGGAGCATCCCAGGCGGTGGTCGCTCAGAATTCGTCTCATCCACAGAACAGCCTGGATCATCAGGTGCAGACACCGGCGTCCGAAGACGAAGCACAGCAACATCCCGACGGGGGGGAGTACCCAGTCTCACCTCGCGCACCACACTTGCACAACGAACACAAGGACAATTCACACTAGCCGGACCGGACGAGACACCACAGCTGCGACTTGCTCACGAACCCTTTGTGCACCCTGGATATGCAGAACTCAATCCAGAGTACGAACAACCAGCCAACGCAAAGCCAGTATGGAGTTTGGCGAAACCGCTCCCACGAGTCGTGCGGCCAGGCATGGTTCCGACTAAAGAGGAACTGCTGCAATCACGAGCGAACGCCGAGCTACCCGCAGAAAACTCGCAAAACCTGGGGTTAGACGTCGATCCCAACGATCTCGAAGCAGGCCGTATCGAGAAGAGCGCCGATCCACGCAAGATCGCGGCGCAGGTGGAGGATGCGCGACTGCAGCGAGAAAACAATTTTGTCAATAAGATCCTGAACGGTGACACCACCTCCACCAGCCGGCGAATGTCGCGTACCTCGTCCTCTCGTATACGCCGTCCGTTGACCGTAGAACCCTCTGCGGGAGGACTGTCTCCGGTACAGGAAGATCGGAATTCGGCGCAGCCTGAAGCTACGGAGGAGCCGAATAATGATGAACGCCTGCCGCCGTTGCCTGAGGAGCCCGAGCATCACGTAGACGACGAACATGAACCTAAGGAAGAGGAGGAAGTGGAAGGCTTCCCCTCGCTTGATCACGCAGCTCTTCCGGACGATCTGCACCCGCTTGTCCAGGAGCTTGTCGAGGATGAGGTGCATAACAACCACACGACCTGGTCTGTTATTCGCACACACCACCGTGAGCCCCTGGCAGAGGCATTAGGGGTGTTCGTTCAGCTCGTCGTTGGATTCTCCGCTGACCTCTCTGTCACTCTGGCGGGCGCAGGAAATCCCAATACCACTGGCTGGGCCTGGGGATTCGCTACTATGATGGCTATCTATATTTCTGGTGGTATATCAGGTGCGCACCTCAACCCGACCATCACCATGATGCTGTGGTTCTACCGCGGATTCCCTAAGCGGATGATGCCAAGTTACTTCTTGGCCCAGTTTCTGGGCGCATTTATCGCTGCACTATGTGTGTATGGGTTGTATTACTATTCCATCCATCATTATCTCGCCACAAATGGGCCAATAGACATCGTAAACAGCTTTGTCACCAGTCAGCGTGAAGACTGGATTGGACCCGGAACTGCCTTCTTCAATGAGTTTGTAGGAACGCTCTGTCTAACTGTGACCGTTCTCGCACTGGGTGATGACCAGAACGCCCCGCCCGGCGCGGGTATGAACTCGCTCATCATTGGGTTTGTCGTTGCCTGTCTCAGTATGACATTCTCATACCAAACGGGCGCGGCGTTCAACCCAAGTCGAGACTTTGGCCCACGTCTAGCGCTGTTGGCATTGGGGTATGGAGGTGATCTATTCAGAAACCCATATTGGTTCTATGGGCCCTGGGCTGGTTCCTTGACGGCGTCCTTTATCGGTGCTTTCCTGTACGATTTCATGATTTTCACCGGAGGAGAGTCACCGGTGAATTATCCGTGGGAGAGGACGCAGAGAGCGATGCGGAAGAGCAAGGCAAAGTGGAAAAGGAGGTTGCATATGCATTTGGGGAAAAAGGACAAGGAGTATATTGGATAGATTCAAGTGTAATTGGCGCGTTTATAGATACCACTGGGTACGACCCTCCTGAAGTTACCAGATACTGTTGTGCAGCTAGTCTTTGAGTTGATTGCTGAATTACCTAGAATTGGTACCGCTCTTCCCTCTTAAGTAAAGACATCAGTAACTGAGGTCTGTAAGTGCTTTGATACTGGTAGTATAAAAGTAGATCTAAAGGTTGACATAGTCACCTGCGTTATAAGAGCATCACCGTTCGCCTTACTAAGAACCCTGGGCAAGGTGGCCGAGTGGTTATGGCGCTGGTTTTAGGTCATCTAAACCACCAGTTCGAAAGATCATGGGTTCGAATCCCATCCTTGTCATTACTTTTTTTGTCATTCTGCCTTGCTTGTCACGTGACTCAACTGTCACCGACCTCATGCTGCAGATTCCTCGGGCGATTAAATTCTTTTTTATTAATCTCTTACAGACAGAAGAATACTATAACTTATCTAGGATAAACTTATCTGCAGACTTCTAACTTCACTCGTGCCCTGAATAAAGACTTTGACATTCCCCAGGATCCAAACTAATGAACTTCGACTTCAATTAAATGCAATTAACAATACAGGGGACTATATCATCAATCAGCATTGATGCAATGCGAAAACTTGTTCTATTATCTTTCAAATCGGAACTCCGACGTAGCCCTTCTGATTTTGCATTGAGAGCACCTTCAGGAATTTACCTTCTGCCGGCTGGCTCCTGTGCCTATACAAGAGTCACGCGTCTAGCAGCACTACAAGACCCCTAAAGTAAGAAGACCGCCAGATGACATCCACGTCGCGAACCCGGAAGGGGGACAGGATGATAGTTCTTGGGAAAGCATACAGTGGATTACCAATAGGAACCAAATCATATTGAGTAGCATCTGCGAGCACCAGGCTCTTGAGCTAACGCTATACTACCCTCTATACTCACCGCCCACCTAATGCTCTTGGCCGAAAGTGTAGAGTAATATGCAATCGATGGATCTAGCTCGGCTGTTGCATTGACCCCTGCTATATGAATGCCTTTTCTTTTTCGTTCTAGATAGGAGGAGACGTCATAGGTTTATGGCGTATCAAATATCCAGATCTTCAAGCTCTCGCGACACCGAGATTATATTTTACCGGTAAATGATATTCTCTCGGCCAGGACCACAACCGACAGACTCAATCTTTACTCCCAGGTATTCTTCGATGTACTGGATGTAGGATTTAGCCTCAGCGGGCAGCTGGTCGTATGTCGTGAAGTCTGAGGTAATCTTGCGCCAGCCAGGCAACTCCTTGTAGATTGGCTCGATGTTATCGAGGTCCTCGGTGTTAGCGGGGAAAGATTCGGTGACCTCACCGTTCGGGAGTTTGTAGGCGGTAGCGACCTTGATTGTCTCTAGTTCGTCAAGGACGTCGAGCTTTGTAAAGTTCAAGCTTCATTTATGTGAGACAGCGCTGAAAAAAATGAAGGAATGGACGTTAACAAACCTTGTGTAGTGGTTAACCATGACAGAGTGCTTAAGCATGACCAAGTCCAACCATCCGCAACGGCGCTTTCGGCCAGTGGTCACTCCGAACTCTCTGCCCTTAACTTGAAGGTATTCGCCAATCTCCTGCGTACCATCAGTACCCCAAACAGAATTAATGATAGGCATCTAAGGCCGGGGAGCACTATACGTTGAGCTGCTCGGTGGGGAAAGGTCCGTTTCCAACACGCGTGAGGTAGGCCTTGGCGACACCGACGATTCTCTTAACGTTGAAAGGAGAAATGGCCAATCCGGTGAAGGCACCTCCCAGACAGGCGTTGGAGCTGGTCACATAAGGATAAGTACCGTAGTCGATATCCAGCATGACAGCGTTGGCACCCTCGATGAGGATGCGCTTGTTCTGTTGCGTCTGAGCATACATCCAAGACACAGCATCCACGACCATCGGCTGGAGTCGAGGGGCCAGTTCCTATTTAGGCGGTCAGCAGCATGTTACGTATATGATGTGATCTGAATCAGGTCATCGGATGGTACCTTCAACTGCGCCAGTTCGCCCTCCTCATCGTAAGGGTCCAAAGAAGAGCCATACTGCTGTCGGTAGCCAGCGACTAGCTGACGGAAACGAGTCTCGAACTCTGTCCATCTGTCGAGGCGGAGACCATCAACGCGCAGTCCTTTGCGGGAGGCTTTCGACGAGTAGGTCGGCCCGATACCCTTGTGTGTGGTTCCGACCTTGCCCTTGCCCAACGCAGTCTCGTTCAATTTGTCAACAAACTGGTGCAAATTGAGAACGAGGTGTGCGCGACTCGAGACGAAGAGGCGACCATCGCAATTGAGCCCCTTCTTCTCCAGAGCCTCAAGCTCATCGAAGAGGGCCGGGACGTGGACGACAACTCCGGATCCAATGAGGTTGATAGTCTTCGGGTTCACAAGTCCTGTACCATTTTAAGACGTCAACGGGGCATTTTCCCTGTATCTCGTATCATAGCACTGACCACTAGGGAGGAGATGGAAGTCATAAGTGACCCCGTTGACAACAATTGTGTGCCCCGCATTGTTACCGCCGGCGCTTCTGGCACACACATCGGCGGATTCAGTGAGGATATCGACAAGCTTTCCCTTGCCTTCATCTCCAAATTGTGCACCGAGCACAATGGTAATGTCGGCGGAGGACATGGCGACTGCGTTTGAGACGAGAGAGAGAGAGTCTAATCGCAGCGTCTACACGGGAGAACAGACAGGAAAGTGGGCTTTTTGGACGGACTCAATATCGGAGGGACAAGACGATGCAAACCTTGCAAAAGCTTTATGCCTGAGGCAGCAAGAGACACCAATGTCGATGATTATTCGCTGGAAAAGCGCTAGAATGACTGCCAGCCCCGCCTTCCCCTTGGCAAGAGGGGGACTATATTGCCAGTTACGACCGCCTTCATCACGTGCTATACCACCTTAAGGTCGAGGATATCCAGACAGTGCCAGGAAGGTTATTGATGCCAGCAATCTGGCACTCTTCCACCGCATCCAGCTGACCTCTTTTGTCTCTGTGCACTGACTGTGTTTCTCAGCGTCTTATGCCTCTTCCTTATGCTGCTTGGCTTGCAGTATATATACGGCGACTGTGTCGTGTTCTCGATGGTCCTTACATTTACCTGCATCCTTTAACCTATTCTCCCTCTACGTGCAGGCGTATTTGACGACGTTCCTTGCCTGATGGCCCTTATCGTGCTGTTTATCGCCACTTCCTCCGTCGAATCAGCCTAATGTGTGAATCTTGGGTTGCTCTGTTCAATACTTCAAGTAGGTCGGGTTCCGGTCATTCTATCGACTGCTCACAGCCATAGCATGAGTACTTCGGAGGGGTTGTTTTAGTCCGTCCTAGCTTAGATACCGGGAGAAGTTTACCATAATGCTCTGGGATTGCCATCTGCCTCTTACAGATATTTTAGACACAGCAAAAGCTGAACCGCATAGACAACAAAAACGCAAGGAATCAAGAAAGATACTATCCCTCTTATGAATCGCAGCAACATAAGAGGAACAGCGAGGAGTACGACTTCGATAAGGAAATGACATATTATAAAGCTGACAATAACATGGAGGAGAAGACATCTCGTAGGTCAAAGAACTAATAAAGATAGTAACACGTAGAATAGTAGAGCAGGGCAGAGCATACATACCTTGAAGACATATATATATATATACACACACATATAGAGCATATGATACAGTACTACGGCAAAAGTTTTCGACACTATAAAAAATTAACTACATAATATTTTTATTTTTAACAGCACCCACAATATAGATATACTTAAAATAAAATAAAGAAATAAATATTTATTATCTTAATGTTTATAAAAAAATATAATAAAAATTATTTATATAAGTTCTTATATATTTTTTATACTTTAAAATATACTACTTTTATATTAAATTTTATATTTTTTAAAACTTAAATAAATATTTTTTAAATAACTTTTATAAAAAAATTTATATATAAAAATTAAATATTTAGTCTTATTTTATAAATATAATTAATAAAATATTATATATTATATATAATTTTATTGAGAAAAACTTAATTAAAAAGGTTAAGTTTTCTATATTTTAGCTATTTTTACTACTTTTTTTATAAAAGTAGCTAATTTTAAATGAATTTTATTCAATAAATTTATATATAAAGCCTATTATATTATTAAATATATAGAAAATATAAGATAAAAGCTTTAATTTTTATATATAAAATTTTTTTTAAAAAAGTTTATATTTATATAATAGGTAAGGGCTAAAATATATATAATTATACCTTTTTTAAGGATAAACTTTAAACTTATATAATATAAGAACCTCTTAATTTAAAAAATTTAAAAAAATATATTATATACTTAGATCAATATATTTTAATATAATACTATTTTACAGGAGATTTTATTTAATTTGTTGTAGTTAGTAAGGTTTAAAAACATCGAGATTTTTGGTGGGGCGAAAAAAAGTGTCGAAAACTTTTGAACGCGACTGTACAACACCATAGTGGAAACCGATAACGCGGAGAGAAAAACCGCGATCCAAGCGCTCAATTCAAGCGCGACGATATCAACGCAGAACACATAGTAAATCAAGTAGGTAGTTAATTGTATCAATTAAGATTAAACCTAATAATAAACTCGAGTCCGCGCGATGCCGATATAATCGATTAAACGACTGTAGCGATCCTCAGCTAGAGGTAAATTATCAAAGGCGATCATGCCATTAATCCAAGCTACTTGAGGTACGCCGGTATACCGAAATACCGCGTAGACCAACGCGGTCATACGTCTGAAACTTCCATCGTAGCGAGTTGATTGTATAGGCTGGTGCTTGCACTTTAGTATGACTATGTTTAACAAATTCTTCTTGGCTTGAAGCGCTATGAAATGCGAGATAGGAGGTTTGAGATTGAGCAGATAATGGGTATTGGCGATCACGTAGGAAATTTCCGGTGAGTGTTGAAGATAATGAAAGGAAAAGATAACATTGGGGCAAGGAAGAAGTTTGAGACGAACGAATTTGGCGTAAAGTTCTGTAAAGGGAATGCGAAAAATCGGGGATACCGGTTGAGATAGAAATACCAGCGCCCGTAAGGATGGCGATGCGGGTAGTTTGAGAGATTCTAGTAGGGTCCGCGATAATATCGAGGGAAGAAGGGGGAGTAGAAGCATCCGGATCGTGGGTGATATAAGTTGTAGAAGGGTAGGAATGAGTGATAATTCTAGGTTAGCAATTGTTGTTTATAATCTTTCCGTGATGCCTCTTTTTGACATGTTTGGAGTCGAGACTGAAGCGATAGTCACGAAGGTAAGCGTGACTATTTAATACCTCCACGAAGTGCAGATGAAACGAGTTGCGCTAAGTAACCGCAAGGGAAAGGTGAGGGGATCGCCTGCCAGGTCCCTTGTTCGCCTGTCATATATGCATATAAGGCGGCGAGCTTAGCGGGCGCTGGTCGGTAAGTATTGAAGTAATACCTAATGTTGGGGGGCATACAGTAAGTCATACAATTGTCAGTGAACACTACCATGTCCCTGGGGGTATAAACCTGTCATTTCCAAGGAAATCACACGAGTTATAGCTGCATATCTCAGGAGTTGCATACACAAACGATATGGGGTACCTATATTGCGAAAACGAAGCAGAATTAAGATATTATTAGGTACATAAGGACTTCTAGGAGATAATCTAATCGCTATCCAAAATAACGACCTCTGCCTCTGCTTCACCAATACTTTCGACGCTCAGTTCATCACCCTTGTTCACTTTGCTGATGAACGCCCCATCGCCCTCGGACAGCACTTTGTTTTCTCGTCCATCCAATCTAACCTTAGCATTTCCGCCCTTGGTCATAGGTACGTGCACATATACATTCCGGTTGCTTGCAGTGGTAGTGGAATTCTCATGAGGTCCACCGACAGTCCACTTGAATCGCTGGCCGACAGGAATCAAACCAGCACCCATCACGAAGTCGGCATGGATTGGGATCGTCTCAGGAATAGTAGGGGTCGCAGCTTCTTCTTCAGCTCCAGAGGCATTCGGCCCAGCTGCCAGCGGAGACAGGATGGGAAGGAAGCCTTTTCGCTTCGCAGCTTCGTCAAATGTCTTAGTGTGATATTGCGGCTTCAGGCCACGCTTCCACGGGAGAGCCCAGATCTGAAGAAAGTGTACATGCTCGGTTAGGTGCTCGTTCATCTCGGAGTGAGCGATGCCTTGATACCTACGTTAGTATCACGCCGTGAGCAAGAGCAGCTTTGGGAGAACACATACCTGTTCCACCAGTGGTGAATTGCACGTCGCCTCTCTTCATCCGATAAAAGTCCTTCCCTTGTGCCCCCTCTGCGCCTTTCTTAACCATGCTGTCCCGATGCGTGAGTTCTCCCGACAGGATATAACTGAAGATTTCGGCATCGCGATGGGGGTGTGTCGGGAAACCTGTCCTGGGCGCCACTCGGTCTTCGTTCAGGACACGCAGGCTACCGAATCGTTCAAATCGAGGATCATAGTAGCTAGCGAAGCTGAATGTGTGGTATGAGTTCAACCAACCATGATCAGCATGGCCGCGCTCGCTGGACCGACGCGGGACAATGGTAGCGTGAGAAAGCTTTGGCATGATGTTCTTAATAGAGAAGGTAGCAGTAGAAGTCATGCAGTCCGAACAGGCGTTTTAAGGTCTGTGGGAAGTATGGTGTTCAATGCTGCGCGATATAACTGATGGACCTGTTTCGAGAACAGGATTGCGATTATGGCAACAATGGGCGCAGATAAAATGGCAAGAGCGCTCTTCATCTAATGCACACCTAATATACTGGGAGATTCTGGAAGAATTCAGTGTGCGGAAATTTGAATCGCGAGACTCGCTCAGCATATTGATCGGATTATAGACGCTTATCTAATGATTTATACGCTGAATCTGGTATGGCGAGGCGCCAAGACTGCCTTTGAAAAGTCTCTGTCAGCATAAGATAATCAATCCTACTTGTGGAAAGCGGCTATGTATGGTAGAGAGATCGAAACTTAATAATTTGCCACCATTGTTTGTAGTAATTGGTTTATCAGCATTATGGGAGTTTGTAATGTCCTAATAACAGTTCATTCATGACTGATAGTTAGTCGATATTACGGAAAGCTGTCTCATTGCTGCGAACGGACGGCGAGGATAGTTCCGAACGCTGCCTACTTAGTACTTAGATTAGATAAGTTACCGTAATAATAGCTATTTATTTAACCTGGCTCGACCCGCTTATGAAGATAGATACCCGAAACAACGAACCGTTGAAGGTAATTCTGTAATCTGTAATCATACCACGGATCAATTACTTATTGGTAGTACTTGGCGTCCAGAATGATATGCCCTTAAGCTCTACTGTAGACCTTGTGGCAACCCCAGCCACAGTTTCTTATACGTATCGCCTCTACACGGGAGCACAATTCTCCGCTCGTGCCATGCAGATGTTTCTCTTTTCATTTTACCGGACCCTTCTATTCTCAATCTCGCCGTGAGCAGCGCAACAGATAGTCGATAATAGGATCGAACTAGGACCTCGATAAACGGCTGCCATTTTCACGACCGTGGTGCTGCCATCTGGCCCTTGCTGAGCAATAATATTGATCGAAAATATCCCAAGCTGTCATAGGTAACCCTAGTCTCGTTCTTTTGCTTGTAGCGAGCCCGGTTTCCCGCGGTCATTCGCTGACTT